AAAAAAAATTATTCAAATTTATAATTAAGTGTTGAAAATGTTATAAAAAATTATGAGGGCTTCGCGTACATGAAGGCTGTGCTGACAGTTAATGTAAAAAACAAATTACTTTTATATCAGAGTTACTGATAATGAGATACATTGAAGATTATTGCACTCAAAAAAATTATTATAAGTCATTAGACAATGGTATTGAATATTTAAATCACAAATTCAGGCCTAAAGCCTGGGCTGACGGCACACACGTATAGTATAGCAGTGTATGAGTGGTATAATTAATGGGCGAATGAATAACAAAATACAAGAATATTATTATTTTATATACACTGATATACAAGGGATGGCAAAAATGAAATGAGTTTTTGAGGTTTGGGTCACACCTATTGTTTGGATTAACTTGAATGTCAACTAAACGTAGTTTTATTATTTAAATTGTTTTTCCTATAATCAAAAATTAATGAAAAACTACTAAAAATAAACCCTTTGTTTTCTCTAAACGATTATTTCGAAGAAAATCACAATTTTTACATTCATTTAATATTCAGTTTTATAGATATATAAATAACTGCAAAGAAAGCCATTTTTAAGTCAAAATCAAACTTTATTTTATAATAAAAATTGAAATATTCATCAAAACTTTTTCATAAATTGTCATAATTTCTAATACAACTAAACGGTTATATAATTTGGAGATTAAATGATTTATTTTCAAATACCGTAACAAAAGTAAAGTGAAATTTCACAAGAATTAGATACAAACTGATAATCATATTCTAATAGACTACTAATTATTATTGATTTAATTAAGAAAAATTTAAAATCTATTAATCACTTCTTAATTATGGTTATAATTATTTCCTTCCTTTAAGGAGCGTTTCAGTAAGAATGTCGAACTCTTTGTCCGCAATATTCAACATAAGGGAACTGGCGTTCAGATAGACTCGATTCTGGGACTGAGCGATCTGTTGGGCAAATAAGCAATTCATTAATACAAACTTATTTACATATTTACTATACATTTAAAACATGTTAACAATAATTCAAACCGTTTTAGAGATCTGTTGAGCGGCTCTTATTTTTCTCAGTTTGAGATAACCCGGGTTTTTAGAGATGGCATCGCCTAAGTATTCAATTCAAACAGATATACAATTCTTATGTTAAGGAAAATAAATGCATCATTAGATGAATAGATAATTAAATATTTCAAATATGTTGCCATCAGATTACTAAAGAACTCGATAATCACTTTTTAAGGGGATTTTTGGGGTAAATGTATAGATCGATTTAAATCAATGATCTGATAGTCTGTGAAAATCATTGACAATAACTAAACAAATCCAATATTTCTATAGTCCAGGCCTTACGGTATTGAACGATAGTCTCGGAGTCAGTGTTTGTGGAAAACGGATTCCGCGAAACACTATTTCAATACTAAGATTCCAGACATAAAATCATTGCAAAAGCAATCAATCATAGGATCGACAGCTTTGGCCACAAAACTCATCGTTTGGCAAATGAGACAATCAATTGAATAATATACAAACTTATTTACATATTTACTATACATTTAAAACATGTTAACAATAATTCAAACCGTTTTAGAGATCTGTTGAGCGGCTCTTATTTTTCTCAGTTTGAGATAACCCGGGTTTTTAGAGATGGCGTCGCCTAAGTATTCAATTCAAACAGATATACAATTCTTATGTTAAGGAAAATAAATGCATCATTAGATCAATAGATAATTAAATATTTCAAATATGTTGCCATCAGATTACTAAAGAACTCGATAATCACTTTTTAAGGGGATTTTTGGGATAAATGTATGGATTTATTTAAATCAATGATCTGATAGTCTGTGAAAATCATTAACAATAACTAAACAAATCCAGTATTTCTATAGTCCAGGCCTTACGGTATTGAACGATAGTCTCGGAGTCAGTGTTTGTGGAAAACGGTTTCCGCGAAACACTATTTCAATACTAAGATTCCAGACATAAAATCATTGCAAAAGCAATCAATCATAGGATCGACAGCTTTGGCCACAAAACTCATCGTTTGGCAAATGAGACAATCAATTGAATAAATGGTTAATAAAAAGGATATCATTTTGGCGGCCTCTGCCTCTCCCTCCGCCTGAACGATCTTCTGCTGTCTCTCTTGTTTCGCCTGTTCCACAGTGAAGGCCGCCCTCTGGGCCTCCTGTTGTGCCACTTGTTTCGACTCAACGGCCGCCGAATACTCTTTGCTGAAACTGAGTTCAGTGAGAGACACGTCGTCCAGAATCAGATTGAAGTCTTGCGCCCTTTCGATGAGCTCTTTGCGCACCAAAAGCGAGACCTGTTGTCGCTGAGTGATCAGCTGCGAGGCGTTGAACTTCGCCACAACACTCTTCAGCACTTCGTTACAAATCGATGGCAAAACTCTTTCGTCGTAATCGACGCCCAAAACGCGGTAAATGTGTGGCAAAGACGCGGCGTCCGGTCGGGCCAACACTCGCAGCGTTATGTTAACCATTTGCAGATCTTTGCTTCCGGTGGGCGACGAGATCTTCCGCGGACGCGAACGGATGTCGTATATGATTGGCCACTGAAACCACGGGATACTATTGGACACGAGTTTAGGCGTCAATACAAATGCGTGACAACTATTGCGTCAGAAAATGACAAACACTTACCGAAAGTGCAGTCCTTCGGAGTACACGCCCTCTTGGATACCACCGATACGGCTGAAGATAATGGCTCGGTGTCCGCCGTCCACTGTCACCGCAAAGCACATCCAATTAGTAAATTACAAGACATTTTGTGAGACAAAAACAAACGAAACACAAACCGGTGTAAACTGATTGTGTGGCCGCATATCCGAGACCTCCGGCCGCCACCAAGAGTTTGACGCCGAGGTTAAGGCCGGAAGGGTTTCGACCAAAACGGTTGAGAAAATCGGCAAATTTGTTGGCCATTTGTGTCCACAAAGAAGTCTGTGTTTTCAAAATCACACACAAAATCAATTGATATCTGAATGAACGCAAACACCAATGGGTCTCACATTCAATAATGTTTGACAATTAGCGCAAACTTTGCGCTCTGTTTGTACGCAAAGGGCGGCCAAACACTGAGCCGTTATTTATGGACCAAAACTAATGGTGAAAACCATGTGTTTATGGTTTTGGAGTTTCGATCAAAAGTTTGATTTATTTTTTTGCCTTAAAATTGAAAACAAAACACAATTTGTGTTTCATTTGATGCGAAGAAGCGATGAAAACAATGATTGGTTTGAATGCATTGCAGACACTCTGGAGATGCCATTCGTTGCGACACGTGTTGAGACCAGTTGTGGTGATGTCGATGAATGGCTGCCAACACCACCAGCGACTCCACAACACAGCCGTCGCCAGAGATCTGATGGAGTTCTTCGACGAGAAGAAGCTTTGGGGCGAAAGCGAAGTGAAATCAGGTTTGCCATCGACTTTATCACCCGATTATCTCGTCGATTGACTGTCTTATCGCTGTTAACCCATGAGGTCGTGAGTGGCGTACAGACGAGTTGCGGATCAAAAGTAACACCGATTTGCATAAGTTATGGTATGTGTTGTATAAGGAGAGGAATATGTTGAAGACGATGGAAGAGGCGGCCAAAGAGGCCAAGGAGTTGATGCCCAGTCCTGAACGCGTCGATAAAGTGGAGCAAAGTATGAAGAACTTGGAGGAAGTGGTCCGCGAACGCAACAAAGCCTATTGGGAGCTCGAGGTCGGCGAAGGAACCACTGGTGAGCGGCCGAAGGTTTTTCGTCGCGATATATTTGGCCGCTGGAAATGGTATGCGTCCATACAGTCGGCCATTGGTTTAGTGTTAACCGATTGAATGGCCGATTGATTGACACCAATATTGATGAAATGATTTAATAGTATTTTGAATTGTTGTGCTCAGGATTGGCTGTTCCGAGCATTTGGTTCCGTATCGATACAATCCGAAGTGGAGAGCACTGAACGCACCCGGATTTGGCAAAGAAGTCACTGACTTTAACCTCAAACTGAATGAGAAAAAGTTGTTGGAGAAGAAGTCGCTTATATTCCGACAGAAGTATTACTGTCGACAACTGATGAGAAGGTTTCCAGATATGGATCTCAATTATCTTCAGGAAAAGTTCCCAGACGTGGATGTGATGGACATGAAGAGCAATCTCGACGAGTTGGTCGGCAAAGACCCCGTCCGGCAATACGGACGACAATTCTATGAAACAAAACCCAAACATCAAGAATAATTTACTGTAGATTTCTATTCACATAATTATGTTTTGTTATTTCAATTCATTATTTTATTCATTGATATAATTATAATGTATTTTCATTATTCACTTATAGAAAAAGATTACATTTTGTTTGTTTAAACGGTATATTAATTAAACATTTGATTAATGTTTTAGTCATTATTTGATAACAAAAGAAACATAAAATGTCTTTTTAAAGGTAATATCGATTAAAGAGTTAAATATACTGTACTTATGATTATTATTATTAATTCTTTACAAAATTTGTTTCAATTTTGTTGTTTCAATAGTCGTGTGGAGAGGGAGGGGAAGGAAAGGTATTGGCGTTTGGTTTTTGTTGTGAAACAGGAATTGGGTTCGAGAGCCGAGAATGAGAGCGAAATTGATTTATATATCGATATATAAATTATATGAAAATCTACTAAAATTTCATCTCTTAATTAATATATATTTAATTATAAATAATATTAGATTTTGTCTACAATCCAAGCGCCGCACTGACCATTCTTGGCCAACAGGGCTTTCGTGTGTTTGATGATCGTCTCGAGAGCCACGCGATGTGTGGCTCCGGTGCCGCCCGAGTCCGACATTACGATGGCGTTATTGAGCTGTTGACAGACGCCCTCCCGTTCGCTGGGATTCAGGTGCCAACCGACGGGCGAATTCCAGGGGTCACTATAGGCCAGGAGACTGAACGCGTCCTGAAGTAGTTGTTTGTTGAACTCGTTTGTGCCGTACTGTCTCTTCAGCTGTTGGGACAGAGCGTGCAGTTCTTTGCCGAACGCCAACAGTCGCGTGATTTTGGCCTCGTTTTCCTCGCATACGCTCTGCTCTTCGGAGTACGAGTTGTTTGTGTCGTTTGTGTTGTCGTTGGAGTCGACCTCCATTTGGGTGTCGGCGGCGGTCGAGGCGTTGCCGTTACAGTCGTTGGTCACGCCGTTGGTCGAGCTGTTGGGCGAGTACGAGGCCATGGCTGCGGCCGCGCCCGCGATCGGCGCTTTGTCCAACTCATTACCGCTGACCCACTCGACGAACTGTCGGCACTTCAGCGCAAACAATAGGTTCGGATTGTCTTTTAACACATTGGGATACAAACGGTTCGTGAGTTGAATCGCTTCACCGATCCGTCCGCTCAACACTAACTGTTGAATACGAAGTCGTTGTCTAATGTATTGGACATTCTCTTTGAAGTCTAATTTCGTCGATTCGCTGAACACTTCAGCGGTTCCGCAGTAACCGTTGTGTATGAGCCACGACTGCACCAATCGGTGGATAGTTGTCTGCCATTCTGTGTATTTCACAGGAAATTCAACAATAGATTCGGTTAAGTGTTTCTTGAGAGCCGTTATGTCCTCTTCGATGTCGTAACAGAAGGGTTCGCACCCGAAGTTGGCCTCCACTTCCTCTCCGGGCGTCTGGAGTCCGACCGTCGGATAGAGCGGAACATTCGGCAGATCGGGAAACGCGACGCCGAGATTGAGTCCATTCTTGGTATAAAAACAATTGCCGGACACGAGATTATAGCCGCAACCGATGATATCGCCGGTCGTGAAAGTGGGTCCGTATGGCTGACCGGTGCCGCTGCTGTTGAAGGAGTGGCCGTCGTCTCCGTGATAGCCGTACGACTGTTTGTCCCAACCGGGAAGTCGTTGCATATTAACGCCCTGTGCGGCCAAACCTATACCCATATACCCATCGCGTCCTTTGCTAATGATTTTGATCTCATAGTAATAGAGAAGACATCCGCTGGGAATGGGATGAGTGGCGCGAACGGCGGCCGCGTCTTTGTGTCCTTTGCCGACTCCCTTGTAGTGCACTTTCAGGTTATTCTCGGAGAGTGTGATAAAGTTGGCCTTATCTTTGGACGACCACGACTTCGGCAGCTCTGACTCCTCGATGAACGGGTAGAGTCTCTTCAGACGACTCAACCCCTCATTGCTGTTGGCGTTCACAGCAGTGGACGAAGACGTGGCCGGAATCGGAGACAAACTGTTTGAACGCGAATTGTGGCCAAACGAGCGATTGCTGTCCACCGACTGATCCATTTGACCACCGATTGGCGATTGAGACGAAGACGATGTCATTATCTCTCACTTAAGATGTCTATCAAAACAAATCAATAACTCAATGGTCTCTGAGTTTGCCTTCACTTAAATGTCTGCACAAAAAACAATAAAAAATTTGTATTGAAATAAAAAATACAGCAAAAAATGCAATCATTTCTAGTAATCAATGATTTGTTTACATATTTTGTGGCGAATTATCACTCAATTAAAGCCATAAATAGATATTTATTTGTAAATAAAATACAAACCAATGATGTCTTGAGTCGAGTCGAGTGTTGATATTATTGCTGTTATTATGAGTTGATATAGAAATCAATAGAAAATACAAATCATATGTTATTTTGCGAAATCAAAACTCAATACAAATGTTAATTAACATAACATTAGGTAAATGTTGAGTGGATTTGAGGGCCAAATAAATAGCTATTGTTTTGATGTTTGGCTATAAAAACGTCATTAAAAATGACAACAAATATAAATCAAGAGATTTTTAATTAATAAAAGCATTCATTGATTACACAATCAAATGAATGAATGAGTGGTTTATCCGCACATCCAATGCATTGTTGTGTTGTTTTGTGTTGTTTTGGGTATCGATTAGTAAATAACAATCAATTTAGTGATGCATTCAAACCATACACTCATTGATAGCGATATAAACACTGTATTCAACACTGGTTTGGGTTTTGTGTGAGAAATGAATGTTTTGTTGTCTTGTGTTTAGTATAGGAAAGAGTGAGAAATGTATGCAAAACTCAATACCCATTCACTTGCCATACATTGCATTCGTATTCATTGAGTCCATTCAATACAC